CTAATCACAGATTAATGGCGCTGTAGATAGGGAGTGCCCTACTGTGCTCGGCCTTCCTTATCGCTGATCCATATTCCGTATCTCTGCCGTTGCTCAGCTGGACATCTGATACTCGGTGTGATGATGCCGCTCGGGCTCCTGCAACACCTCTCAGTTTTAGTGTCTGCCTTTATGAGATCCTGTGACCTTGGGCGCCTTTAACAGGGAAATGAAACTTAACCGCAAATTTATTCGGATATTTAAATGAAATCCTCTGGCTGTCATCCCTTTGTCGTATGGCACAGATCTGAGTGAATGAGCCGGCATTGTGAAGTTGTTTTATCATTGGAGGAAGTCGACACATTATCCCGTCTCCCTACCTCGGGGGACCACAGTAACAACAGATCTAAATTGCTTCACTGTCCTTCTCCCCTGTGAGTTCTCTGGGGTAAAGGGCAGGTGCCTGGCTGCCTTCCTCTTCCTCACACTCTGCCAAGATAGTAGCCATGGAAAAGAGCTGTGAGAGACAGAGGCACATTTATTTTTTTTAAGCTAGGGAAATCACTGGAGCCGAACTGATTACTGCAGCTAGGTGATTGTTTTCTGTGGGTTTTTTTTCACTTATCTTGCTGCTTCTCTCCATTCACGTAAACCACTTCTTCATATAGAGACTTTCTTCAGTGGATAGTAATGAAATGCTGTGCACATAATGTTGCCTTTGGGCCTCTATAAGCTTTTAATTGCAAAGGGTAAAAGTGCTGTGTTTAAGGAATGACCCTGGCTCTGGTGGAGTAAACTGTGTCTGGCTTTTTTTTTTTTTTTTTTTTTTTTTGCTGCTCAGAGTCAAGGTTGCTGCAGGGTCTTCTTTGCTTTCAGTCAGAATAGCTGGATCGATTGCTACCTCCCAGACATGTAAGCTTTGTAGCACCACAAAGCTGCAGACTTGCAGACTTCATTGCTTGTTTCATGTCGTTGACATCATGGCTATTTACAATGACAGTAAGAGGCATTATGTAATTATACACAATTAATAGTGCATCTTTTGTCAGAGCAGAAGCTTAGATTCCAGTGCAGTGCTCAGTAGGTCACATTGTGCTGTTTGCATGGTAAGTAGTCTGCCTCTTATGCGTATTATTTTTTATCAGATTGAGGAAACAGGCTTTTCTTGTGGAATAAAGATTCACAGCATCACGTTGGAGGGTGGAAATCAAGTTTAGCCCCAGCACACAGATTTATTGATAGGAAGCTGGTAGCCATAATCTTAATACACAATTCATGCCTCGTGCTTTAATGGCTGCAGCTTCTTGAGAACCATCCCAAATCTCATCTTCATGCCATGTCTATCAGCGACTGGAGGAGCTTGGATTCCAGATTGAGCAAATGCCCGGAGGTCTTCATGAATCCTTGCATGCGTACAGTATATGGGTCAATGTCTAGGTCCGGACCCTTGTGGTGACTGTATGGATGGGTCTGAGGCTGTTCAATTCACCGTGCTCATCGTTGCTGTCGGCTTTTGTTGTTCATTACAGAGATTGCTTTTACAAGTGAGGAAAGTCACAGAGTTGTTGGTTTTTTTAATTACCTCCACAGCGAGCAAAAGGCTCCCTCAAGCATAGTTTAACTTTGCGTATGTGTGAGTGTGCCTATGTGAGCAGATGAGAAAGAAGAAAAAAAAAAAAAAAAGAAACTGTGCGCTCCAGCAAGTGAGAGGGTTAAGGGAGAAGGAGAATTTTGCCTCGGGCACCAATCGATCAGATCCTTGCAGTAGAAGTCCCAGCTTCCCTTTGGTGAGGCTGTGTATTGCATTAGCTCATCTCACATTCTCTGTCTGGAAGCAAAGTGAAGCGGGGGGGGGAGGCATAGGGGGATAGAAAATAGGAGAGAGGGTGGTTGAAAGCAGCAGAGGAGAAGGAAGGGCAGCGCTTTGAAATGAAGGCAGGGTTAGACGACTCAAAGTGAAGCGAGAAAGAGACGGTGAGCAGCTCGGTTCAGCAGTGGAGTGTGCACTCTGCCCGTCTCTAGCTCCTGCCTCAGATTTGGTCTTCTTTGCGAGCTGCGGGGACGAAGCATGAAGCTGGCTTATTGGCCGTCTTCTAAAAGCTCGCACCTGTAGAGGCGAGAGCGTTTGTTCTATGACAGAGTACACCGCCTGTGTGTCTTCCTGCCCTGGTGAGGGGTAATGGAGCTGAAGTAACGCAGGTCACTGACGGTGTCTGTGGGGATCAGCGCCGCACACACACACACACACACACACACACACACACACACATGGAGTATGCACACAAAGAATTCAATCAGGGACAAGGAAAGGATAATAGCATTGTGTAACTGATACATGCTTGCACCCACTCACTGTTCAAAACACACACACCCTCTCAGGAATCGCACCCAAAACACTTATTAGAGTGCCATATGAACTGCAGAGTATTTATCTAGCAGCTTATTCTTACCAGCTTCTCTGTAATAGGACACTGTACCCCCACTGTATATTGTATTCTCAGTGTGCATGTTAATCATGCAGATCCGGTGTAATCATCTACAGTAAACAGTCTCTGATCAAACACAGCACCTCCCAGCGCACCGCTCCCCTCACAGTGGGCCACATCTAAATAGTTAATGGTTCCCCCATAAAACCCCAAACTTCAGACCGTTTCAAATTAGAGAGGAGCTATCTAAATCAGGAAGGGAACGGGGGAGAGCAGATAGCGACGGAGCTCTTCAAAGTCCTCTTTAATAAAACATATTAGCTTGCCTTGTCTGGTGGAGTACGGTGGTAGTGGTGCAGTCGCTGTGGTGGTAATGGGCTTGTGTACGCCAGCAGACTGATGAGTGTTCGCTGGGCTCTGTGCTGCCTGACCAAAGGGCTGGGCGTTGTTGGCACATGGTCCGTAGGTTCAAAAGAGCAGGTTACAAATGGAGGTTAATTAGCGAAGTGGCAGCTCCAATAGCCAGGAAGCACCAGATATGTATTTTTTATAAACTTTATTCAGTGCCAGATAGTTGACTAATTCATTCTAGCTAAAGGCTTGATGTGTCGCACTCTAATTCTCCATCTGCTTCTGTCTGTCTCTCAGAAATGCTTTAATCTACAGATATGTTTTTTATAGCAGCAGAGGGTCTGACATGCAGGAACAAAACCAGATTCAGAATTACAGAGATTTCTGAGCAAGACTTTGTCACGTCGCCACAAAATATTGAAACATCAACTGATTGGCTTTAGTGTAACTGCTCCGAATAGAGTAATTGTCGCTGGCAAATTTATAATGCAGTGTTTTGTGGCATGAAGTTACTGCACAGCATCAGTGATATTGCTCCATCTTAAGCGCCGGATTTCATTTAATTATTTTCAACTCTAATCTGAGAACAAATCCTTGTGTACTGTGTCGATGTTCATGGGGGAATTGTTGGATTTCTCTCCATAATACTGTGAGGACTTGACCTCAAGTGCCCTGAGATGACATATGTGTGTATTTGGCACTATATAGATTAAATTTAATTCAAATAAGCTGCCTTTCACAGCCTATTATTTGCAACATTTTCCCACAATCATTGCCGTCATACGGATACACCTCAGTTGGTGACCAGTACTTTTAGAAAACACATGCAACGTCTAAACATGTCCCAAAGTAAGAGTCTTCATCGAGCCTCACGTTAGTGCAAGATTTATGTAAGAACAGATGAACCCTGTGGTAGAGAAACTCCAGCCTTGATAACCGTTTGACTATTTCTGATGATAACCATCAATCAAGTCATTTTCACAGCCTGTCATAAGCGTTAGTTCAGGAGCGACTTGAAAAAGACTCGCGATCATGATGTCCTTCATTGGGATACTGGATTAATTATATTTCAGTGACCACACCACACTTCTGCGCTGAAGTGATTAATCTTTCCACAGAGCTGTCACTAATTATGCTGACTTTACCTAAAATATGTGGCAACGGCAGAAGATGCCTGCTCAGCACCGGTTTTTGTAGGGTAACGGGGGGATGGCACATAAATGAGGCAGTGTGGCAAGTTCACGGGATGCTGGGTAAATTAATTGCAGGCCTGTGCCTCCAATTAGACCCGACTCTCTTTAATTGGTGCTGAATGGGCTCCAAAGGCCTCTGCTGGTAGATATGGTGAGGAGGGAAGAGCTCTCTTTCTCTTTCTCTCTCCCTGCAGCACATACACTCACTTTTGTGTGAAAGCACACAATGAATTCACCGCCATTAAGTCCCACCCTTCAGGAATTAACAACAGGAAGCTAATTTGCATGTAAAGCAGGTTTGATAGCCACAGCTGACTGGCCAGAGAGCAATAGTAATGACCAGAGATAGCAGTGGGGTGTTAACCCCCTTGGCACTCCTGTTGACACTGCTTTAGCTGCTTTGTTTTACTTCAATAGTGTAATCTCTGCTCTTGCCCTTTATCTTATCTTTTATCTCTTAATTTCCTTTTACCTCTAAGGTGTGTCATCTTCTTGTTTACCGTTGCCTTCTTTTCCTTCTTTTCTGCTCTTTGATCTGAGAAATGACAGAGTCACATAGCTGCAGCGATGTTAACCTTTGCTGAAGGAGCTGTTGCTGTAATTAGAGAGTGACTTTGTTCACAGATTGCTAGTTCATTCGGTCCTCACTGCTACTTGGATCAGCAGTGCTTCTTATTGCACTGGAATAAAATCATTCTTTTACTGTCAAGTTTGTCCTGAATGTAGGTGTGATGTGCAAATATCAGTGCAGTTGACATGCATGGTGTTATGGTACTTTGCTTAAGTTTAGAACCGTATGTCTGAAATTGAAAGCAAAAAGCACTAAAAGGTAATGTAGGCTGAATCAAACAGAATACTGACCCTATGTGGTGCAAGATTCCTACTGTCGGTTGCCAATTCGATATATCCAGAGCAGGTATAGTTGCCTTTAAAGCTGCTGCTGAGCAAGACCTACATCAGGTTTGAAGGCCATACTTTATTATAACAGAGGTAAATAAGGACATAAAATCCTTGCAGATGTCAAGTTTCACTTTTGCCATTTCTTTCCCAGGATCCCGTCTGCGTCAAGAGGACACCCCACCCCGAATTGTGGAGCACCCATCTGACCTGATTGTTTCCAAAGGGGAACCCGCTACTCTCAACTGTAAAGCGGAGGGGCGGCCAACCCCGACAGTGGAGTGGTACAAGGATGGAGAGCGGGTGGAAACCGACCGGGACAATCCCCGCTCGCAGCGCATGTTGCTGCCCAGCGGCTCGCTCTTCTTCCTGCGCATCGTCCACGGACGACGCAGCAAACCGGACGAAGGTTCTTACGTCTGCGTTGCTCGCAACTACCTGGGAGAGGCAGTGAGCCACAACGCCTCGCTGGAAGTAGCCAGTAAGTGCAGCATGTCTTCCTATTTCGTCTTTGTCTCTGCTAAGGGTGTGAATGGAAGAGTTTGGGTTCAGATGGAGCTGAATAGCAGGCTCCAGTTTCGTCCAGTGTTGCTGGGCTCAATGTGTTCAGTGAGTTGGATAATCTCTCAGGAGATGGGCAGGATGTGTTTGGCCCAGCGGTCTCCGTAGGCCTGTGGAGCCTTGGGGGAGAAGTGGCCTGATCATTCCAGGGTGAGTGCTTCTCTAAAGGGCCCTTGGTAGGTGGTCAGGAGCTACAATAGGAACAAAGCCCTTTCTGTTTTGGCCCTGCTTCTGCTTTTTGTCAGAGAGATAGATATGAGGTTTTATATCGAAAGGAATGCAATCATTGCATCTGTGTTTAGTCATCTTTCAATGAAGAGCTTTCCCACTCGTTTCATTCAGAGATGTCTTTCATTGTCTGCTACGCTCGTGCAATAACAGACGAGCTTTGATGTAAAGTGGATTTAAGCATCTCCATGGTCAACAAGCAGGCTTTGAGACATATTAGTTAGGATAATATTTGGCAGTCGTGAGTACGCAATGTAGAAGTTAATAATCTCTCTAGACTCTGAAGTCTTTTTTTTGTGAGTTGTGACCTGTGTTGGCATATTTGTTCCCATGATTCTTAAAAGGCTGCTGACGTTGGTGAGGTCAGCTCTGCAGATATATTATCTCTTTGCTCTCTTGACTGGCTGAGGAGGGGAGCTCAGTTATCAAGCGCTCCTCTAGCATGCCCAGAGGCTGTCACCAACCCGCTGACTGTAATCCAATCAAGATGGGGAAAGAAAGAATGATGTGTGTGTGTGTGAGAATGAATGTGGAGTGCGAGGGGTTGCCGGGCCGGGCATGAGCTGCCCGCTTTTTTGTAATGGTCTCGGCAATGACGTGTCATTCAGATGCTTGCTTTTTGGATTTAAGCTGTATTTGTGGGATTTCTGTAATATACAGATGGGACAAGCCTCCGCTGTCAGTACAAAGTGAGAAGCATTAGATCAGACACAAGGTTTTTACAACCTATTCCATGAGCACTTCTTTTGAATTGAGCGTTAGACGTCCCGTTTCGGATGAGCTGCAGAAATTCAGTGCAGACTGGTGGTCAAGATGGTGAGTTGTCCTCGTGTATCCTGCAATATATGTTTCCAGCCAGGCTTTGGCAGCGTTAAAATGACAATTCTGCATAATTTTATAAAAATACGAGCGCGTCCAAGTTTTGCACATTTAAAAGTTTTCCATCGGTCATAATACTAAAAATATTTTCCCCATGCAGCAGATGATATACAGTGTTTATTTCAGAGGTGGGTTTTTTTTCAAGTAGAAAAACAAGACACTTGGCGTGAAGCTTGAGGACCAAAGCACCATTGGCTCGGTCTCAAGTTTGGGCTGCTTATTCTGTATAAGGTTCAAACAGACCCGTAATGACAAGCCACTGCGCTCCAGCCCTCGCTCTCCTTCTCACTCAGCTGGTGTCTCTCACTCACCCCTCTCTGCAGCTCATGCCTAACTACATATAATTATGTTGTCGGAGCAACCGAGATGGAACTCTGCCGGCGAAAAAAGGCAGAAGAAAAAAAAAGAAAAAGGCCAGAAACTCAGAGATTTCTTTACAAGCTTGCATTTAAACTCCAGAGTGAAGAAACTACACGCCATAAATCTGACTCACGAGGGTAGGAGAGAGTTTTAAAGCATTTCGGAGTCCTTGTTGTCGTTTAAGATGCTTGTCATACCGTTACTGTTATGAGTCGAACGCTGTAGACACGGTGTTTTACTCGGAGTGAGTCGGGGGCTTAATTTCCAATGAAACTCCAAAGAAGGAAGTCATGGTTTTAATTGTGTTTACTTTGCCTCGCTCTCCCCCCTTCAACGTTTTCACTTTAAAAGCTGAAATCACAACTTTTCGGAGATGTTATTGTAAGAGACTGGCTTTTACCGTTTCCCGTCTCACCAGCGATTGTTAACATAATCCACGTTTCAACAAGTCCTGTTTTGCCAGGCTAGGAGAGCTAACCCAGTTTGTTTGGTTTATCATTAACCACATGTACAGTACAGCCCACAATCTCTCTATCTGAGTCTCTTAACCCAAAGCCTGGCCTAATGCAGTCACCGTGAATCCTGTTTGCCTTGTGTATTCAAACAAGCTTAAGATAGGATTCTGCTCCCATTATGTTTTTGTTTTCCTTGAATTAGAGATGTCGATGTCAAATAATGAACTTTTTGTGCGCTTGAGGACAGCCAGTTGATAAAGAACAAACAGGAAGATCGCGCTGAAATGTGTTTACACTGTTGCTAAAAAAGTTTCTGAAACACGATTATGTTCCTGTAACCTAAATCTTCAGATGCTATTCATGCTTTGCCAAGCGCTGAACAAAGACGATTCTAAAAGTCGATAAGTGCATTTTGATGAAAATAGATGAGTGTGGATGCAATAAATCTTTTTGAAGATTATACTACATGACATGGTATAAATCCCATCAAACTGTTTAGAAAGCGTGACAGAATTTTAAAGAATTGTGGATCTGTTTTACTTGAGAACTCTTGTTTGCAGCCTTTGTGAAAATGACTGAAACCTGTTACCACAATCACACGAAAATGGAAATCAATACAGGCAAATTATTAATAACAATTTATCTGTTTTGTGTACGAACATCACAGAATGATGAGTAAGAAAGAAATGCACTTAGTTTTATGCAGTGATTACTGACGGACACATTAGCACAATAAGCTATGTGTGCGGTACACTGTATACTCTGTTGTATGTCACAGTAGATTCCTGTACTCACTGCTCTGCATGGGGCCCTGAGAGGCTCTATGAATAGCTTGTTTCCCTTTTCCTGGACGTTGAGATAGTAAAGTGAGGTAATGGACGGCACACTGCTGCACTTGAGCAGGCGATAACCTCAGGGCCTGCTGTCTAGTGGCCTGGCTGACTGCACAGAGCTGACCGCACAGGGTTGGCTGCAGGCCTCGCATCCACACACAGATTCCTCTCTCCAGAGGCAGCGTTTACTTTTTACAGCCACTAACAACAGAAGCAAAGGGATGTTTACTTAAAATTTGGTCCACTGCATATAATTCTGTTTAGCCAAGTTTATCTCAGAGTCTCATTGATCTCGATGCTGCTGTGAAATCTCTGTCACCGTGTGCAGCCAGCTGGCTTCGCTGGCTGTCTGATTAGTGGGGGAAGGTCGGAGCGTCAGATGTGTGGAAGGCAGCAGGGTTCATCCTGACAGACTCTGGGCCATGCCTAAGGGTCATCTGCCGAGTGGAGGACAGTCGGCTGGCATGCGCCAGTCTAAAGGCAGCAAAGCCACCTCCCACTGATGCGAGGACCCGCCTGTCTCTGTTGCAGGACATCTCTTGTACTACATCTGTCGACTCTCAAAGAATTGGAGTCTTTTTGTTGCACTCATCAGCACACCCCCTCCCAGACTAAACCCCTCCTCTTGACACATTTGAGTTTACTTTATCTCACATTTCTTTCCTCCCTCCTGCCTTCACTCATCATTTCACTACCCACTGAAACGGAACAAACCCTGAGACTGAAATAGCTCCGTTCACTGCCTGATGGGAGAATAATTATTTTAGTTATTTTAACTTATTACTTCAGTGGCAATATCGTGCAAAAGCTGTTGTTAAATTTCATCAAATTCTTTCTTGTATCTGTCTCTCTGTTGTGTGTTATTTTGGGGCGATCGTTCAACTTTTAACCTGTTTTTTAAGCTCTGCAAATACTAAGAAGCTCATGTAAAATGAGACTAAGAAGTGAAAAGAAAGGGGAAAAAAAATTAGTAGCTGCAGAGAATAAGAGCGCGAGAGCAGACTGAGATATGAAAAAAAAAATCAGGACAGCTAAACCCCAGCAGAAGCAGCAGTGAGTGTGCTGGCAAGCTGCCAGGGGACTGGAGGCAGAGTGTGTTACAGCTCTGTGGCAGTTATTTGTCTCAGGGAGGTTCAGAGCAAATTGGTGCAAACGGCACAGCCAGGGTCTGCTTCATGAGTCAACATGCAGCTGAGGCGTGGGCTCCGCACCACAGACGCTCCTTGGCCTCCACTCCAGTCTGTTTCATGTCGGAATGCAGACCCCTTCCACAATCTCCAAACCCAGTGGTGTGTGTGTGCGTGTGTGTGTGGCTGTCAAAACTAAACTCACTAAGAAAAGTCTCTGTTTCGAATTATTGTAAAGAGTTTTGCATGTATGATGTTGGCAATGGGACAAATTCCTTTTCACTAAATATATCAATAATATTTTAGTGTATCTTGTTGTGAGTGTTTGCTGGGGGTGTGCTGCTGTTCAAGGCTATTTTTGTCTCGTGCTGTTAATCTTGGAATTACACTGGAAACAACTGGCTACTGTCTAATTACACTCTCTCTAGCGCACAACTGTCAGCTCAGGGAAGGCACGTCCAACACATGCATTTTAATAAGTCTCCAGCCTGTCCATATATGCAAAGAGTGATTTTTATCATGCATGTTATGTGTGGTCTGTTGAGCCTTGCGTCTTTGGCACTTCAGGCTGTTTGCATAAATCAATGCAATCCATGTAATTAATCCTGGAGTGTCCACTTTGCTGGGTTGGGTCAATACATGAATGCCATTTCGAAAGGAGAATTTCTGTGATACATAAAAAGACTGACGCTATTAAGAAGGTATGGAGCTTCTCATAGCATGCAGTGCTTGTTAGTGACCTTTAGACCTTCCTTAAAACCACGACGGAGATTGTGATTAGGATGCATAGGCGCATATATGACCCGAAGAGTGCACCCGTGGTTCGATTTGCGTCATTCCCCTGCCGCCTCTAACGCATCTCCTGTCTCCCTATACCGTCTCTGTTGAATAAAAGTGAAAATACTAAATATAAATCAGCAAACTCTGACTATGCTGATATGCCGAAGATGCATCCTGGCAGATATTGGCTGACATAATTGACCCAAAATGTAGTTGTCACTCCCTGCAGTGACAGCAGTCTGCTGTGAGGGGGAAGAA